TTAAAGACATGACAGTCTTACATTTATCTATCTATCTATCTATCTATCTATCTATCTATCTATCTATCTATCTATCTGTACTGGGGATCAAACTTGGGATCTTGTACTTGCCAGCCAGGCACTCATGCCACTGAGCTATCTCCCCAGCTCAGTCATATAAAATTTGACTCTTTTTAAAAATATTAGGATGTGCAATAGATAAATAAACCATTGTGACCTACGCATTATGCTTTTCATTCATTATTGCATATGTTCATTACAACAAGTATAAAGGTAGATGCTAGTAATATCGCTGTTTACAGATGCATCAGGAGGTCTAGGAATAGTGAAATAACTTATCTATCACAAAAGTAGGAACTCCCAAAGCTAAAAAGCAGGATTAACTTTGGTTTAAAGTTCTTCTCTTTTAACTTTGATATTCTGTGTCCTATATTAGCGGTTCCAGATAGGGGAAGAAGACTGACTTCAGTATTAGCTTCTGTAGGCAGAGTACAGTTGCTTAGACCCTTTTTGTCCACATTTCAAAATTGCCCAAATTTGCTTTTGCATTTTAAGTGATACAGTCACACAGTTGTACTTGATGATATTTGTTGATTCAGGCGACTGTTTTTTGTTTACTCTCATTCCGTTACCCAGCTTTCATCTCAGTCAGATCCTGTTTAAATTAGGGCATTATTTCTTGTCCTGCTCCAAAGACTGCAGGAGTAAAAACACATGAAAACAAACACTGCACTGCTCTGGACCCCAAATGAACCTTACTTGTATAGCAGCCATTTGATATTACCTTTCCTTTGGAGTTTATAAGTAAAACTGCAATTGGCCATCAATATACTAACTTCTGATCATATAATTGCTGCTTAACATGACAAAGTGACTGCATGTATAAAGAAGCCAAGTGTATTTTTTGCTTTCTGGTTCAGTGAAATTAGAACTGCGACTTGGAAAATATTCATGTTCCTCTAACATCATACATGCGGTATTGTTTCCAAATCTCCCTGAAAGGCTATCCAGTGTTTACGCCATCTTGCACATCTTAAGAACTGACACATATATGTAACTGGAAATGTAAGCAAGTGAAAGGCGCAGCTTTTATGTTTCATTGATAATACTCAATAGCCATACATTAATGCTGTGTGATTAATTCCCTGCAACAGAACACATTCTTGGCCTTTGCCTAGAGAAATGGCCCTGGACATGATGTGCTTTCCCTCGAGATACGCAGAATGATGTTGGGGATAGGAAAGGGACTCTGGGTCTCAGTATTTCTTCTAAGCTTTACATGTCCTCGTTTCACTTTCTCCATTATCTGTCCTCTACCCCACAGCATTTTTCCATATAACTCTAACTGTTTTTTTCGTTTAGCTCTTTAGCTGCCCTCACCCTGGAAAGTACCAATCCTTAATTAATCCAACCATCTGTCTTCACTGCTTATATATTCATATAGTGCTGGTGGATAAAATGAAACAACTGTTGAGGTCAGGGTCACTATAAAGCTGCTGTCCTCAGCCTCTGCTGGGTGCTGCATAGCCCATGTAATCTTTGGTCATTATCCTGAATGGACTACTCCCCTTGGATTCTCTCCCATTCCCTCCTTGTTATGCTCCCCAGTAACCTCAAGAATGATTTCTTTGAAATTAAGGTAAGAATTAAAGAAGTCTTGAAATTGACCCTGTTGAGGTCAATAATGCTTAGAGCAACTGCATTTCCCCCAAAACTCAGTGAGTAATGCTTGCATCCATGTCTGTATAAAACATTCATGCAGGATGGTCCTGGGTTTCAGTGACAGCTGTGTCCACACCGATTCAGTCATATGTCAAATCTATGAATTCTATCTATCTATCTATCTATCTATCTATCTATCTATCTATCTATCTGTTTTAAAAGAAGAGGTTACTGAAATACATCTACGGATAAATCAGACTAAAGAGTCTAGGTGTGGTACTCAATGGGATCATCTTGAAAATGGGATTTTGGTAAGAATTATTTGTGTATATTAAATAAATTCAGTGCTGTTTATGTGAATGCCTATATTCCCCCAGAATTTAGTATCTTTCCATGCACTTGATCTTCTCTCATAAAGCATTTAAGTACTGTTAAGTTATGTGGTTGAGGCATAGATTCAGCAAAATGTTGCCAATTTTCATACACAAGAGTTCCTAAAATTCTCCTACTGAAACTGAGCTCATCATTGAAAGTCTCTTTAGTTGAAATGATCTGGAAGGACAATGAACTTTACCCCCTTGATTTTAAATATCAGGAGATCTGTTTAACTCAAAACTAAAACAATAAATGACTAATTCCACCATTGATTATTAATGCCAATGCTGAGTGTTGGTTTTATTAAGGAAAAAATGAGCAGAGAATTAGAAAAGAATCCTTGAACTGCTCAAGCACTAACTTAAATATGTCCATTTATTTTGTAATACATTGTTGCAAGCCCTTGGTTTCAATCATGAAGCTCCAGGAAAAAGTATGCCACCTAGATGTTCTTTTTGTTACTATCTTGTGGCAAGCATAGGGACAACAACTATGAGAATGTTTAGGTGGAGGATTTCTATTACTTTTAATGGTGATAAACTAGTAGCATATTTCTTTTGTTTAAGTATATTCTGCACAGTTCCATATGTATAAGTTTACATACTAGGTTTTCATGCTACATTTTATTTTCAGAACTAGTATATGCATTAAATGGATATTTCCTGCCCCAAGCATGGTGTTTTAAGTTAAGATTGTTGTTAAATCTATACTAATTTAAATTTTATAAGAAACACAGTAGACTAGCAAAATATTATTTAATTTTGAAATATTAAAACATAATTACAGGGGGCCTGTCCCTTAGCTCAGTTCTTTGAGTGGCTCTTTCAAAGCTGTCAGGCTCAGGTTGCCATGGTTCGATCCCCACAACTCAAGCTAGCCAAACCTGCCCTGAAGGCATTCGGAGCAAAAAATCAATCAATCAATCAATCAATCAATCAATCAAACATAATTACAGCAGAATATTAATCATAAGAAACAAAGATAAATTAAGAATGTGATTATTTTATTTAAAAGCCAGGATATTTGGCATAGTGCTGTATATTCTACAACAGTTTGAAGTTTTCAAAATACAAAGTTTTGTTTTCAATTAAGACTTTACTGTGGGGCCTGGGATAAAACTCAGTGGCACAGTTCCTGCCTGGGAAGCCCAAGGTTCTGAGTTCAATTCCCTGTACCAAAAGAAAAGAAAAGAAAAGAAGGAAGGAAGGAAGGAAGGAAGGAAGGAAGGAAGGAAAGAAAGAAAGAAAGAAAGAAAGAAAGAAAGAAAGAAAGATAGGGGCAGGGGAGATGGCTCAGTAGGATATGCACTTGACTGGCAAATGCAAGTATCTGAGTTCAATCCCCGATTCCACCAAAAAAAAAAAAAAAAAAAGATAGATAGATAGATATAGATAGATAGATAACCATGATCTCTGGAAACTGAAAATCACTCTTTCTAGAATATAAGTAATGGGTTTTTCATGGAAATATTTTGGACTTTCTGGTTTTGTGTACCAAATTCTGATTTGAATCATCAAACTCAATTGCCCAATTTATAAGACTGAATTTTAGTAAATTTAGCATTTAGCCATGTTAATTTTATATACCAGTGCAGTGTAGAATAACATAAGTAAGGCTTATGAGAATCCATAGGTCTAAATATGCATGTGCTACCTTCCTGGACATCCGTTGTAGTCAGGAAGTATTAAAATAATCTAACCCAATATTAGGTCCTTCGGGCTATTATTAGCTATTTGGAAATTCCTAGATTCTCTTTTATGTGAAGTACCTAAAAGAATTGACTGGAAATCGCATTTTATAATGCATTTGAAGATCCCATTTTCCTCTAGTAAAATAGAAAGACAGAAACATCAAAACAAAAATAAACCTATACAATCAGATTAAAGAGAAAGCTGTTTCTTATTTGCATGCAAACCTTGACCTTTTAGCTCCACAACTTTTAGGGAACTACAAAATCTAGATGTACATTGCCCATCTATACATTGCCCCTTCACTGATCTGCGCAATACATTTTTTGTCACTTTAACAGACTAATACAGAGAGAAAATAAATAAATGTTTAAAAATACAAAAAAAGTTTTATTGCACTATAATGCATCCAGTCTGAATATTTTAATGCATACCATTTGCCTTGTGCTCTTATGTTTTAAAACAAAACAAAACAAAGCAAAAAACTCTCAATTAAGCCATGCTTTGGTCACTTTGCAAATCACAGCTTCAGCCTTCCTGATCTGAAGCAGACTCACTAATGTCAGTTTCGTAACGCACTGGCCAGAAACCATATCTCTGTGGACATTCTCGCTACTGCAGCAGGTGTTTGTCAGTTTCTTAAGTTGCTTGCCTTTCCCCTGAGGTGGTGTTATTTCCGGTACATTCCAAAGGCTCTGAAAAAACTTTTGCAGTCAAATCATAGCTTCAGCTTCAAAGTTACTGAGAATTGGTTGTTTTCAGCTTTGCATTGTGTAGGCATAGTTACCTATTTATTTTTTTTTTATTTTCAGCACCTACAATATTTAGTAAAAATTTGATAAAACAAAAATTGTAAAATGGCAATGATCATTGGGAAGAAGCCAAACACTGAATGTCCGGAAGTTGAGGGGATTATATTCCTGGCAAACTTGGTGTGAAAAGGTTTTCATCATTCATTTAGACCACCCTGAAGTTTGACATACACATATACAAAACAGACTTGATAACTTGCAGTCAACCTGCTAATGTTTCCCTTAGAAGGGAGGGCTCTGCCTACATTGTACAGCTGAACTTGTTATTCCAGAACTTAGGCGTAGCACAATAGACAAGAAACTGTTTACCAATTGTTTATGTACTTAGTTTCCTCTTTTTTTTTACACGTATATGTTACCAAGTAAAACCAAAGCTCCCTGTAGTATGAATCAGCAGCCATAGAGCACACACACAATTTAGGACTCTGCTAAGTCAACAAGAAGCAAGATTGCTTGAACTAACCTTTGGGAAGTTTCTCAGTCCCGCTGAAGGCAACCAGAGTGAGAATATGCACCAGAGGAATGTTGACGAGCTCTCTCATGTTTAATCCAGGCTCACGCAGGAGAAAGTTCCTTCTGGACAAGGCAAGGAAAATACCACACAGTTTACATTTTAAAGCATAGTTTGTTACAATAGGGTCGACTGCTAATGACTGTTCGTGTCAGCAGCTCCACAGGCTCTAAGTATAATCAGGAATTCTCAGACTTGGCTGCAATGATGGACATGGCCAGCTGGTGAATATCCACTTAGGCCAGTAATGCAAGTGGAGGACTGGAGGAACAAGAGAAAGAAAATCCCTTAAGAATCTCTTTTAAGACTGGCAGGACAATAACAGATGCCTTCTGCCACCATCACTGTATTACCTGAACTGTAGATTGTCTGATCTTCCAATGCATCCTATCACCTTTGCCACACTCAAACTAGCAACCTGGGTCTAATAGAGATTCCTGTCCATCTCTCACCATGTCCTCCGCATCAAGCCCATTCTAATTCGTGAAGAAGTTACCAATTAAATCATCCTTGCCTTCTTCCCCTCCTTGGGTGTTGGGTATTTTGGAACAGCAAGGGGAGAAAAGTAACCAAGGCATTATCCCAACAATATCTTTCTCAGACACTTATTTATTATTTTTTGTTGCTATTTTGTTGCTTAGTCTCCTAGAAGTTATTTTTTCATATATAATAAATATGAGTAACAAATAACAATAAGTTACTCATTTGCATCCAAGTTCCCATATCACTGCCTAATCTGGATGACCCAGAGGTAACCACAGTTTTAAACTCGGTATATATTCTTCCAGATCTTTTCAGAAATATATGCATGCATGTGTATATACAGAAAAATATCGTTGTTTTGTGCAAGGTTTGTGAATAGTATCTTTCTCCACATGTCAGGTTGCAGCCTCAAAGAAATAGGTGCTGGGGCAGAATTGGACGTGCCAGAGATTCTAAAGACAATGATCATGAAAAATGAAAGGAATGAGGATCTATGAACCAGTAAGAGGAAAGAACACCGAGATTGCAAAGCTATTCTGATGTCTGGGGAAACAAAAGAATAAAGGAATCAGGACCAGGGAAGAAGAGATTAAGATTTCAATATAAGCACTGAAAAGGTCTCATCTGACTGGTGAGACGGCAAGTAAAGATGATCTGTTGTTGGAATCCTTAAGTGGGCAGAAGCATTTATAATTTTCATATAGTATTTCTGGCCAAGCACACTCATGGGCTAGCAGAAGCCCAGGGAGAGTATATGTCATGGTTTGGAGAGATTTTCCCTAAGGCTCGTGTGTTTAGGGCTAGACTTCAAAGCAATAGTGTTCAAATCTGATGGGATTTCAGATGTGATTTAATTGTGAAAACTCTAGTTCGCTGATATGGATTAATCCACTGATGAGTTTACAGATCAATGGACTTATTAAAAGGCAAACTCAGGGCCAACAAGATAGCTGAGTAGCACAAGCACCTACCTGGCAAGCGTAAGGTCCTCAGTTCAGTCTCTCGTTTAAAAAAAGGAAAATCTAAAAGGCAGACTCTAAGGGAGCAAAACAGCACACAGGGTTTGGCTTTGAAGGGGGCATATATGTTTAATCTAGACCTTTATCTCTGGCTTTTTCCCTTCCTCTCTACTTCTGTGGATGTCTTGAGGAGAGCAGCTTAGCTTCTCACCAAGCTGTTTCTCCTTGCCATGGCCCAAAAAGGGACGGAGCCAACTGAGTATCAGTGAAGTCCCTGGACCCATGAAACAAAATACCTCTGTCTTCTAAGTAGTTTATATGTAGTATTTTATCACAGGAACACAAAACTTACAGAAAATTTGTATGGAAAAATGTGGCTGTGACTGTGGCTTTGACCACATGATTGAGAAACCTTTAGATTGGTTTGTGGGAGGAGTTTGGAAAGATCTGGAGCTGAAAGGTAGAGACACCCAGCATGAGTTAAGCAGAACTTAATGGGACAAATCTGGCGGGAGCTCAGAGGGCCAGAATGCTGATAGGAATGTAGGCAGTAAAGACTGTGCTCATGAATTTCAGTAGGATGAAGGGATTTATTGGGAATTAGATGAGAGGGCCCTTGTTTTATGTTCTGGTGATGTACCTGTCTACATTTGTTCACACCTGGAGACTTTGTGGGAAGCTGAATTTAAAGGTTGTAGGCTAATTAATATGACAGGGAAAATGTCAAAGCAGAATAGATACATGCATGGGTATTGATGGCTGTTTTTAGGCCAGATTTAAAGTGAGAATTAGGACCAATTCTGCTGGCAGCCTTTCGCTGGCAGAGCCCTAAGGTGGCATATGATATCACATGGCAAAAATAAGGGGAGTGTCTCTGTCTCTTTTCTTGTAAATCCACCATGGTCTAATTGGGAGGGTTTTACTCTAAGGTAGAACTTATCTCTTAGTTTTTTATGTAGACTGATCTCTTCCCAAAATTCCCACCTCTAAACATCATAGTGTGCTTAAATCTCCAGCCTTTTAATATCATTAGTGTATGACTTCAAGGATTGAACTTCTCATGAGCAGAGCAGAGATTTCAGTATATTATACAGATGCGCAAGTACTCCATTATTTCTACTTGTCACGTAGCCTTTTCAGACATGGATATGTGGTAGTATATTAAGTTATTCTTCTATTGATAGGCCTTTGGGGTTCCTTTGGTTGAACAGAAATTGCTTTAAATTTTCCACTATTAAAATTGATGTTACAATCCAAACCTATATGTTGCTCTTTGTTCTTGTGAAAAAGTTTCTCAGGCAAACACTAACAATTTTAATTACTGGACTTAAAGGTTGGTAAATTTTAAGTTATAAAAGGTTTATCCAAACTAATAAATAATATTGTTACAGTTTAGATCTAACATATCCCCCAAAACCTCCCACCTGGAGGTGGGCCTGCTCAGAGCAGGTGAGTCATTCCCAAACCATGACTCAGAGGAGAGCTTCTCATCCCTTCCTCCTTCCCACTCTCTTTGCTTTCTGGACACCAAGGTGTGAAAGCTTTCTTCTGAACTATTCTTTCACCATGGTGTTTCCACCTTTGAGGCTGCAAACCATGGACTGACACCTCTAAACTCTGAAGCCAAATAAACTTCTCTCCTTTGAAATCGGGAATATGGGTATTTTGTGCCAGTGACAGGAAATATGACTAATACAGCCTTGACTTAATTGCTGACTTGACTTTTGACCTTAGGTGACAGTACCTGGGGTGGGATTCTTTGTAGTCAGTCAAGTTGGAACACACCCCAGGGGAGGGTGTTTCTGCTACACTAATGAAACAGCTGAAGACAAAAGCCCAGGGGTCATTTATCTTTCCAGAGGCCTCTACTCTTTATCATGGTAACTGTCTTCTCTTTTTTTCCTCCTATCAATAAAGTGTCCAGGAGAATGTGTTACTTTCCTTAAAAAGGGGTGGGGTGGATAAGACATCTTACAAAAGAAAAGATAAAATTTCAACTCCTATAGGAAAAGTGTTTAATGCCTCTCATCAGGGAAATACAAATTCCAACCACAAGGAGATATCACTACTATCCAAAAGGCTATTATCAAGGTTGGGAAGATAGCTCAGTTGTCTAAGCATGTGCCTAACAAACGCAAGGACCTAGGCTCAGTCCCGGTACCACATGCTGTACTGGCCCCAAGCACTGAGCTGGCCACCAAAACCAGGCATGGTGATGCATGCCTGCAATTCCAGTTCTAGGGAGGCTGAGACAGAAGGGTCACTATGAATCTGACCTGCATAGAGAGACCATGCATCAAATAAATAAATAAATAAATAAATTTTTAAAAAGGAGGCTACGATCAAAAAGACTAATGATAACAAGTATTGACAAGGATGCCAAGACAGAGAACCCTTTAAACAGTGTTAGTGATAATGTAAATTTTATCCATTTTCTTCAGAATATCTAACAGTAGAATCATCACATAATGCTGGCATCTGACTTCTCAGTGTATATCCAAATGAACTGAAATTGATATTTCCAAGACTTATTTACATTTCCATGTTAATTCTAGTAATCTTCACAACAGTTAAGATACAGAAGCAACCTAAGGGTCCACCCACAGATAAGAAAATGGTATATTACATGTTTCTTTTGAATCTTTTGAAGTGAGTATAAATTAGAATTAAAAAAGAAAAAAATGCAAGTGATACAGATTTTAACTTGACAAAGTAATATGAATTTCACAGTATTTGTTGTAAGACATAGCGTAGTCTACCAACCAGTTATTCCTATTACCAGATACATGCATGTAAAATCATGAGAAGAAAAAAAGAAAGACATGTATGAGAAATTAAGAAGAAAAAAAAGTCTTTGAAAGAAAGAAATTTTGCCATACATGGATAAATTTTGAGGGCATTATGCTAAGTGATAGAAGGCAGAGGCAGAAACTCAAACACTATCTGGCCTTACTTATAGGTGAAATTTTTAAAGATCATAGAAACGTAAGGAAGAGACAGAATTTATCAGGTATAGGGATGGGAGTAGAGTTGAAGAGTGTACAGTTTTAATTAGACTCACATTTTAATAAAAATTGTACTGTGTATGACCACAGTTAATCCTAATGTACATTTTAATCCACCAAAAGAATACTTTCAACATTCTTACCAAAAAAACTGGTATACTAATGAAGCAATGTATATGTTAACTTAATTGACTGAATCTTTCCACAATTCATACATAGATCAAAATATCACATTGTACCACACACATATGTGCAATTATCATTATTAACTAAAATTAAGTAATAGGAGATGAAAAATGGAGACAGTAGATGAGTATAACCATCCCAGGAAGGGTAACTACAAAGGGGTGGGGAACGTTGCATAGCACTGGAGGAAGATATTTGGAGCTATATTTTTTTAAAGTTACTTTGGGAATGTATTGTATCATGATAGAGTTTAAAAATGCAGAAGAGAAAAAAAGAATGGATGGTGCAAGGACTCAGGGAAGGTAGGAGGAGCTGGGGATTTGAGTACAGTATCTTGTAAGTAAGGAAATGTATGGGCAGGATGGAAAAAAGTTTATTCAGTCCTCATATAATGGCTTCTATCATATATAAAGAGTAGAAGACAAGGTCTAAGAAGATAGAAAACTCTCCCTTAAATAGTAGAACAGAAGCAGAGATAAATGTGTGGAGACAGCTTCCTAAGAGGAAGACCT